CAACAAGCAAATTAAAGGTGGATGCTACCAAAAACCAACTGACACTGGCACGCTTCTAAACTTCAGAAGCTGCGCGCTACTGCAGTACAAGAGACATATAATAGAGGGTACGGTGCACAGGATTTTTAGGAGCACATTTACATGGGAACTTTACCATGAAGCATTGATTACCAATAGACAGCAATAGGCATTTCGGATGAGGATTAGAAAAACAAATCAAAAAAAAAATTGGTTCTGCAAATTGTGCCAAGAGAGGCGTGAATTTGAGCTGACAATAACAGGTTAATATAAATGTAGCTGGCAACAAGCAAGTTAAATGTAGATGCTACCAAAAACCAACTGACACTGGCACGCTTCTAAACTTCGGAAGCTGCGCACTACTGCAGTACAAGAGAAATATAATAGAGGGTACGGTGCACATGATTTTTAGGAGCACATCTACATGGGAACTTTACCATGAAGCAATCATTACCAATAGACAGCAACCAAGTCAGAGGAATTTGAGGATTGTTTCAATTGGTATCATAAAGATTGTGGTGGCATTTCGGATGAGGATTAGAAAAGCAAATCAGAAAAAAATTGGTTCTGCAAATTGTGCCAAGAGAGGCGTGAATTTGAGCTGACAATAACAGGTGTAAAGCTTTCCTACAATATGTAGACGATATTGTAAAGACTATTTAAGGCGACCCGAGCGTAGTATTGCAGGCTGCCAAAAAATTGCACCTTAACTTACAATTCACATTTGAAATACCGAATGAGAACAGTGACTTCGCTTTTTTTTGACATTAATATAAATGTAGCTGGCAACAAGCAAATTAAAGGTGGATGCTACCAAAAACCAACTGACACTGGCACGCTTCTAAACTTCGGAAGCTGCGCACTACTGCAGTACAAGAGAAATATAATAGAGGGTACGGTGCACATGATTTTTAGGAGCACATCTACATGGGAACTTTACCATGAAGCAATCATTACCAATAGACAGCAACCAAGTCAGAGGAATTTGAGGATTGTTTCAATTGGTATCATAAAGATTGTGGTGGCATTTCGGATGAGGATTAGAAAAGCAAATCAGAAAAAATATTCGTTCTGCAAATTGTGCCAAGAGAGGCGTGAATGTGAGCTGACCATGACAGGCGTGAAGCTTTCCTACGATATGTAGACGATATTGTAAAGACTATTTAAGGCGACCCGAGCGTAGTATTGCAGGCTGCCAAAAAATTGCACCTTAACTTACAATTCACATTTGAAATACCGAATGAGAACAGTGACTTCGCTTTTTTTTGACATTAATATAAATGTAGCTGGCAACAAGCAAATTAAAGGTGGATGCTACCAAAAACCAACTGACACTGGCACGCTTCTAAACTTCGGAAGCTGCGCACTACTGCAGTACAAGAGAAATATAATAGAGGGTACGGTGCACATGATTTTTAGGAGCACATCTACATGGGAACTTTACCATGAAGCAATCATTACCAATAGACAGCAACCAAGTCAGAGGAATTTGAGGATTGTTTCAATTGGTATCATAAAGATTGTGGTGGCATTTCGGATGAGGATTAGAAAAGCAAATCAGAAAAAATATTCGTTCTGCAAATTGTGCCAAGAGAGGCGTGAATGTGAGCTGACCATGACAGGCGTGAAGCTTTCCTACGATATGTAGACGATATTGTAAAGACTATTTAAGGCGACCCGAGCGTAGTATTGCAGGCTGCCAAAAAATTGCACCTTAACTTACAATTCACATTTGAAATACCGAATGAGAACAGTGACTTCGCTTTTTTTTGACATTAATATAAATGTAGCTGGCAACAAGCAAATTAAAGGTGGATGCTACCAAAAACCAACTGACACTGGCACGCTTCTAAACTTCAGAAGCTGCGCGCTACTGCAGTACAAGAGACATATAATAGAGGGTACGGTGCACAGGATTTTTAGGAGCACATCTACATGGGAACTTTACCATGAAGCATTGATTACCAATAGACAGCAATAGGCATTTCGGATGAGGATTAGAAAAGCAAATCAAAAAAAAAATTGGTTCTGCAAATTGTGCCAAGAGAGGCGTGAATTTGAGCTGACAATAACAGGTTAAAATAAATGTAGCTGGCAACAAGCAAGTTAAATGTAGATGCTACCAAAAACCAACTGACACTGGCACGCTTCTAAACTTCGGAAGCTGCGCACTACTGCAGTACAAGAGAAATATAATAGAGGGTACGGTGCACATGATTTTTAGGAGCACATCTACATGGGAACTTTACCATGAAGCAATGATTACCAATAGACAGCAATAGAAGGAAAATCAAGGGTGACTATCAGAACCAAGTCAGAGGAATTTGAGGATTGTTTCAATTGGTATCATAAAGATTGTGGTGGCATTTCGGATGAGGATTAGAAAAGCAAATCAAGAAAAAAATTGGTTCTGCAAATTTTGCCAAGAGAGGCGTGAATTTGAGCTGACAAAAACAGGTGTAAAGCTTTCCTACAATATGTGGACGATATTGTAAGGAGTGCTGAAGGCGACCGAGCGTGGTATTGCGAGCAGCCAACTAATTGCACACTCGCTTACAATTCACATTTGAAATACCGAATGAGAACGGTGACTTGGCTTTTTTAGACATTAATATAAACGTAGATGGCAACAAGCAAATTAAATGTGGATGGTACCAAAAAGCAATTGATACTGGCACGCTTCTAAACTTCAGAAGTTGCGCACCACTGCAGTACAAGAAAAATATAATAGAGGATACGGTGCACAGGATTTTTAGGAGCACATCTATATGGAACTTTACCATGAAGCAATGATGATCAATAGACAGCAATAGAAGGAAATCAGTACCCAGAGGAGTGGTCATCCAAAGTTGAGTAGGAAACACTAAGCAAAATTCTAGGAGCAAAATTAATACCAACTAAGACAGAAACTCGAGGGTACATAAAAAGGATACAACTCTACGACCTGTCCTCTCTCTCCCCGGTAGTTCTTATGAGAAACTAAATAAAACACTAGCAAACTTTTTGATGAAATCGAGGGTGCAAATATTGAGACCAACACTGAAGCAGCTAGGGATATGATAGAGAATCCTAAATTAGACTCTGAAGAGTATCATTTCCTTGGATGTTAAAAGCTTGTTCACAAATGTTTCACTCAAAGATGCTATTGACATCGCGCTTAAGAAAAAATACAGCCAGAATGAGCCACCTGATTTGTCAAGAAGTACAACGAAACGCCTTTTGTACACGGCTGTTAGTACTGTCCATTTTAAGTGCAACGACAAATGGTATGTACAGAAGGATGGATTGACCATGGCTGCTGTTGACCAAGGATGGATTGACCATGTAGATGTGCTCCTAAAAAGGCATGTAGATTTTTAGGAGCACATCTTTATGGAACTTTACCATGAAGCAATGCTGATCAATATACAGCAATAGAAGGAAATCAGTACCCAGATGAGTGGTCATCCAAAGTTGAGTAGGAAACACTAAGCAAAATTCTAGGAGCAAAATTAATACCAACTAAGACAGAAACTCGAGGGTACATAAAAAGGATACAACTCTACGACCTGTCCTCTCTCTCCCCGGTAGTTCTTATGAGAAACTAAATAAAAACACTAGCAAAGTTTTTGATGAAATCGAGGGTGCAAATATTGAGACCAACACTGAAGCAGCTAGGGATATGATAGAGAATCCTAAATTAGACTCTGAAGAGTATCATTTCCTTGGATGTTAAAAGCTTGTTCACAATGTTTCACTCAAAGATGCTATTGACATCGCGCTTAAGAAAAAATACAGCCAGAATGAGCCACCTGATTTGTCAAGAAGTACAACGAAACTCCTTTTGTACACGGCTGTTAGTAATGTCCATTTTAAGTGCAACGACAAATGGTATGTACAGAAGGATGGATTGACCATGGCTGCTGTTGACCAAGGATGGATTGACCATGTAGATGTGCTCCGAAAAAAGGCATGTAGATTTTTAGGAGCACATCTTTATGGAACTTTACCATGAAGCAATGCTGATCAATAGACAGCAATAGAAGGAAATCAGTACCCAGAAGAGTGGTCATCCAAAGTTGAGTCGGAAACACTAAGCAAAATTCTAGGAGCAAAAATAATACCAACTAAGACAGAAACTCTCGCGACAAATGACAAGCGAGACGAGAAACCCTCAAAGCTTATGCTTTAATATTGAGGAAATCAAAGTCAATTGTTTGCAAACAAGGTGCGCAGCATCACCAACGAACAAATTAAGTTTACGACCCGGAAATTGAAAACCGCTCTCCCCCCCCCCTTTAAGCCGCCATTACCCCGTGATATGAAATCCAATGTGGTCTACAAACTGTCTTATTGTTGATGTAATTCCACCTATGCTGGACGAACTGTTCGACATTTGACCACAAGGATTGAGGAACACAAGAAAGAGGAACACCAGTAGGCATTCATATACGTCAGTGTGGGGAGGAAGCGACCACAGCACAGTTGAGTCGGGAGATAATAGATCATTCAGACAGCGCAATGAAACTCCTAGCATTGGTAGCGCTGCAAATTAAGCAACTGAGGTCAGGGATCAACACACGGGATGAATTCAGGAGTAGGGAGCTAACACTTAGACTTCAGTCTAAAAATATTTTTAGCTTAGAATGTCGAACAGGTCAATCGAAAAAATTGTAAAATCTAAAAGTTATTATAAGGAAACGCTATGTAAGATTAAAAATCTCAGAAACTTAAGAAAAAAGAATGATTACGTAACTCTTAGGTAGTAATGCTTAAATTTGATAGGTGGAAAGGTTCTATTTTTTGTTTAGAACAACTTAATCATTTTATATCAGTTTTATTAACCTAACGATGGACGTAGTTCCGAAAACGTTCGAATTCACATTTTAATAATTTTTCTTCTTTATTAAAAGTTAGATAATAGAATGTTAATCTTAAGCTTTTATTACGTTTTGACGCAGAGCGGCTCAATGACAGCAAGGCTCAATGAAATCATTGTTTACCCATTCTGCGAAATCCATGCACCCGAGGGCCTCTAGGTCCACCACCTCCTCCTCCGGGCGGAGGGCGCCTAAAATTTTCCATTGTGAAAGCTTGATATTATTCATGGCCCTAAGTTAAGTTAGATATTTCATACCCTAAGCTGGACCCGGATCGGTTTTGGTTTTTCATGTCCTTCTTGGTGATTCCTGGCTAGAACAAGCGTCTTAAATTTATAAATAGAAAATTACACAAGAATATATCTATAAATTGTTGTCAGGGTGGGTACTAACGGAGAGAAGACTGTGCAAGCTGAAACACATATGGTAAAATCGAGTAACATAAAAAAAATTTTTATCGAAATGAAGATCCGATAACTAATGCTGACTTACAATAGAGAAATGAAAGCAAAGAGTTCGGCGAAAAAATTCTGGATCCATTTGAAAGGCGAAGATAATGGCCCTGTTCTCCCATCTTCTATTGTTCCCGCTGAAAAACTCTCTGGTGAAAACAGCTATTCAAAAAAACTTGTCATATAATTTTTCGTGATAAATATTAATTATTACATTATTCAACATGCACTTACACTGGGACACATACACCATTTTCAAGCTAGCAAAACTGTATCATACACCTTCAAACGTGATTACAATAATCATTCTTTGTGTAACCTTCTGATTGAAAGGTAACATCAGACCTCGAAGTTATTTCACCCGTCCTTCAGCATATAGCCAGCACGAAAATCCATGGAACATTAAAGACCAGGAAGATAAAACAACATAAAAACCATCATGATAATTTAGGAGTTTGGACAAAGTTGTAACATTCGCCAGGAAGTACACATCGACGGAAAATCAAGCTAGGTTTGTGCCAGTCGGTCATATTTGGAAGTTTGACCTTGAGCAACGCAAGAAACATTATTTTGGGGTGAAATGAAATTTTTCAAAAATTCGAATTGAACATGTCATGCTCAAATTTCTCGCGACAACTGAAAATATCAAGAAAATAAAATCAGAAGAACCGAATTACAATCGCGGGAAAGTAGTCGAAACAACAGAATGGACCAAAATGCAAATTCAGCAGATTCGGAATTTTAGCAGCGAACCTTCCGAATTGACGGTTTTAAGTGATTAACAACGTTATTGGGACGATTAGTAAAACGGTGAAGGTCAAGATATTCTGGTATTTTGAAATTTTAAAAATTCGAAGTATGACGTCATATTTCTGAGAAACGTCAGAAACGGCCATTTTAGAGAAAAAGCCGAAGAAAAACACAACATTAGTTGCGATAGCAATAACAACGGAAATTGTGATTGAGACGCAACAACAGATTGCAGGAATAGCAGAGACCGTTCCGAGTTGCAACTATTGTGTCGCTACAATAGTTGCAAGTAATGGTTCTTGCGTTGCTCAAGGTCAAACTTTTAGCCTAATTGTTGTGATAAACTTATTAAATAGTTTCAGACCAAAAGTACGTACGCGGAGCCGCCGTGGTGGCCCCGATAATCATTCGACTGATACTAGTGACACAATATCTGCCTTCTGTGCCTCGGAAGGCTGCTCACGACCATCAGGTGACGTGGGCTGGATACAATGCGACAACTGTGACACATGGTTTCACAGTGATTGTGTAGGAGTGAGCAAAGAAGCAGCCCCCAACATCGATTTCATATATAACAACTGCAAAACTGAAATCAACCGAAGCCGCAGACAAACATGCCCTGACTGCAACCGACTCGTCACGGTAAAGGCAAACAAGCAGTTCCACACACATGGTCCCATAAACAACCGATGTCCAGGCACCGGAAAGAACACTACTCGCGATACAGACAAACGACATGAGTTAGATTTTGAAAACTTTCAATCAACTGATTTTATTGATTTGTTAACTAAGTTTCAATGTCCTACTGTTAAATTTGTCCCTAAATTCGCACGTGTCAACTTTGCCTCCACGTTTGCTGAATGCATCAAAGAGGTGGTGACTAACCCGGGAAGCAAAGAAGCATGGGGTCGCTATCTGATCATGCCCTCTTGCTGCCTCCGCAAACCTACACGCGCAGGTAAGAAGGTCAGAGCCTCACTTGGAAGCACCATACAGCAACAGATAAATGCTTTCAACAGGGGTGAGTACACTTTGCCTTCTCCAGTCTCGCAGAAACCAGCAAGCTCTGGGAACAACGACAACTCCAAACTGATTGCTGCCAAACTTGACGAAGGAGATATCAAGGGAGCTGTCAGGTTGGCAGCCAGCGACGATACTTTCTTGCCACCGACTCTTGAGAATAAAACACTGCTCGATGCGAAACACCCTCCTGCACCCGGAGACAAAGCTACACCCCCATCTAACGACTGTGTTCAACTTCAAGTTAGTCAGTCTGAAGTCAGGAGAGCGGTCATGTCTTTTAACGCAGGTAGTGCTGGTGGACCGACGGGCCTCAGACCACAACACGTGAAAGATGCACTTTCACCATCTGCTAACGAAGCTGGCAACAACTTGCTCTCGCATCTGACAGACTACACAAATTTATTGTTGACAGGCAACATCCCTGCGTTCATCAAGCCTGTCGTCTCCAGTGCTACACTCATCTCTTTGGCCAAGAAATGTGGAGGAATACGCCCGATCGCGATTGGAGACACTTTGCAAAGACTCACTTCCAAATGCATTTCACGGCGCATGCTGGAAAAATTCAAAGATTATTTTTGGCCTTTTCAGCTAGGAGCTGGTGTTAAACACGGGAGTGAGGCGGCGGCCCATGTAGCGCGCGATTTCATTGAATGCGCAGAACGTGATCAAGCCTTTGTCAAAATTGACTTTGCCAACGCCTTCAACAGTGTAAGACGTGATGTCATTTTGAAAGCCATCAATGAACACGCCCCGGAGATCCTTAGCTTTGTGAAACTCTGCGACGAAGAAAGCAATTTCTTGATATATGGTGCCTTCACCATCAAATCAACAGAAGGGTTTCAGCAAGGCGATCCCTTGGCTACCTTGGGCTTTTGTTTTTCCTACATCCTGCTTTGCAGAACCTCTTGAGCAAGCTGAAAACTGGATACCTGGATGACGTTGCTTTTGCTGATGAATGGCGCACCACTCTCCATGATCTTCTGAGTATCAAACAAGCATGTGAGAAACTTGGTCTATTTTGAATGAGAAGAAGTGCGAGGTGACAGCTTTTGGGAGCAGTAAAAAGGAGATAGAAAGAGCTTTTCGTGAGACATTTCCCACTATTCAATGCGTTGATGCCGAAGACAGCACACTTCTTGGGGCTGGTCTAGGCACTAGGTCAATTCGAGCAAAGTTAGTGGACAAACTTGCAAAACTCAGGACACTCCTGCAGCGAACAGGTTCTTTACCATGTCAAACCGCTTTCTTTCTCATTAAAAACTGTTTCTTTGTCCCTAAACTTATGTATGTCCTCCGCGCTAGCCCTGCCTTTAAACACACAGATTTACTCGACGAAATCGACACACTTGTATGCCTTGAACTTGAGAGAATCTTCAACTGCATCATTTCCGATGTCTCTTTCAGTCAAATTTGCTTACCCACGAAACAAGGAGGGTTTGGTCTTCAAAAAACCAGCACTCTCAGCTCATCAGCATTTGTTGCTTCTTTTGTTTCCACTGAAAATTTACGGCACCGCCTTGCTCCTGAGATACGCAATCCTGGTCTTTTTAACGAAGCCGTCGACCACTGGGAGTCTCTCAGCAACCACCGATTTGAATACTTAACCCCCCAGTGCGCTCAAAAATTTTGGACAAAACCTATCCACGAACAACAATCCGCAAACATTTTGAGCAATTGTACCGACGAAATTTCACTTGCTCGTTATCACGGCTGTCGCGCGGTAGGTTCAGGCGCTTGGCTGGACGTCCTCCCTTCTCGTTCACTGGGTCTGACTTTGTCCGATGATGAGTTCCGTATTTCAGCTGGTCTGCGTCTAGGAGCCCCAGTAACCGCACAACACACGTGCAAATGTGGCTATGTCGCAGCAACAGATGGAAGACACGCACTTGTCTGCCCGAAGATCAAGCACAGGCTCATCAGACACTCGAATGGCAACATGATCATTAAAGATTCTATAAAATCACTCGGCATCAGTTCCACACTAGAACCTATCGGGCTGCTACGCAAAGATGGACGCAGACCAGATGGACACACACTAATGCCATGGCAGCGAGGACGGACCTTGGCATGGGATTTCACATGTATAAGTCGTTTGGCAAACTCTAATCTGCGAATGGGAGTTCTTCCGGGTGCCAATGCAGCTTCCGAGGCCGAAGTCCGCAAGAGAAACCACTATTCAGACCTCCCTTTCACTGTAATTTTCGAACCCGTTGCCATGGAAACACTGGGTGGCGCTGGTAGGTCTACTGCAGTTTTCTTGAAAGAAATTGCAACGCGAATAACAGTCTTAACGGGTGAGAAACTAGCTTTTAAATTTCTCAAACAAAAGCTAGACCTAGCGATTCAGCGCAGGAACGCTGGATGCATCCTTGAGGCAACTAGTTGACACACACCCTTCACTTTACTGCTTCAACTGTAAACTGTGCGGTATATACGCTCTTTTTATTCCTTGTTCAATTTAATTGACTTCTTTGACTTTGGATAGTCATACGTGTAAGTTGCAAGGCCGTTGCGAACAACGGTGAAGGGTGGAAGACAGCCTTCCGGAAGGAAGATAAGAGCCTTATTTCCCCGGATTCAGGAATCCGGAGGGGTCTCGGGAGTGAAACTTTTATTAACTTATATAAACTTTTAGCTTCCCTATTATGTCCTGAATTGAATTTAATTAACATCTGAATTCATTCTGCTAAGATGAGAAGCTAGGAGTTGGGGGAAAGGGTTGATCCATCTTCGATGGAGATGATGATTTTTATCTACTGAACAAAAACAAAAATAGTTCAATAAATAGTAGTAGCCCTGATTTTAGGAAGGACCTCGTGGTCTGGGGATACTGAGACCCAGCCATGAGCTCACTATTTCTGCATGTAATCTAGTTAATTTGAGTGTTTTGACCGAAGCCGAAAGCAGTAACGTTTTTGTCGACCCGATGTTAGAAAGACCACCGAAAGTACTGGCTTGGTAGAGACGGTTAAAAGCAGGTAAAGCTCTGTTTAGACGTTGGCCAGTCGTCTTAGGACTTAGTTTTATTTTCCATCGATATGTATCTTCCGGGCGAATGTTACATAGATGTTTTTAGTTATTCTTTGGTTGTTATTCTTTTTAACATCATGACCAGCAGAACCGTTAACGAGCACTCCGCGCCGAGTGGATGCTCACATTAACGCCCTTATTAGGCCAAAACCGCCAGGGCGGAAGGGTAGTTCGGAACGCGGAAGCCTTCCGGATTACCGTGAATAGCTTTTTAACCTAGTTAAGACCGAAAATTCACGAACCAGGAAGGGTGGGGGGATTCGCGGTCCCGTCACTTCCTGAGTGGTCCTTGACCAAAAACACTTAAAAATATATATAAAACAAAACAAAAAGTAGTATAGTACCCAAGAAAAACAAAAAACATAAAAAAATAACCGAAAAAACCAAAAACAGTAGAAAAAAAGTAAAAAAATCAGTAGATATCATCCCCCCAGACAAGATGTGATCCGACCCTCCCGTTTGTTGTTGATAGATATATTGTTGTTACAGGCATTTATATCATTCAAAATTGTTACGATCAATTTTGTAGCCCGTTTGTGAGGCTTGTACTGTAGGGTTATTTGAGCATTTAAGCACGTTAATGATAAATTTCGCTCAATCCGGAAGGGTCAGCTGATTCGCGCTCAATCCGGAGGGGTCTTGGGAGAAGACTGATCCGGCAAGCAGTACAAGGAGCAACAAAAAGTGGCTCAACGACAACAACAATCGACTGTTGGGTATCGTTAACAAGTTTTGTATCCCTTTTGGTACAAAAATTAAGATAGTAATCTGTGGGGGGCTCGACAGGGCTGCACTGTAGTGACCCTTCACCGAACTGCGAATATCCGAGCTAAGCACCTTAATTCGGATATTAAACAAACCCGGAGGGGTATAGTATTACTAATATTTTTACTTA